CCATGTTTGAAGATCATGGTTTGTTTGATATTTATAAAATGGATGAGAAGCGAAGAGGGGTAGAGTCCCTAGAAAAAATAGTAGGGTTGGAACTCTTTTCCTAGTGTATATATGAAAGAACAAACGCAGTTGTTATTATAGAGAATTAACATAGATAATTGAATTGTTGATGTTGCATTGGTGGATTGTTGAGAAGATCAAATAAGACGGAAAAGTGTCACGCATGCTTCAAGTTCATAAGAGAAGTTATGTGGGTTTTGTTTCAACGAGAAGCCCAACTTTAACGTGGAAACTCTAAAAATATTTTCTTTGCATAGCAAGAATTGTTGTTCTGCAATCATATCACAAGCTCAATCACAAGAGGAGAAAGTCTTTTCGTACAAATCCTCAGATTCTCAGTCTATGTAAAAGATTCAAACTGTACAAATATATAACCAAATTGAATAGGGCTTTACCGTCTGTACTCTGGAGAGGCTGTGGGGAATTTATACGTTTAAATCAAAGCTCCTTTAGTTAAGAATCAATCACAAATCCAAAGAATCATCTCTGTTAAGACACAACATTCCTAAACTGCGACAAATAAATAAGGAATACAAGTTTTGCAACAACCAAAAAAATTACTAACTTACAAGGGGTTAAACTGAATGAGAGCTTCCTCCAATAGGCATGACAGGTATCGAGTTTCTACCGTACTTGCTCTTGGCGATCCTGGAACAGAACATGAACATCAGTAGTACTGAGGACAACAAGAAGAGCCTGAAGTAAGTTTTTATCTCCTGCATCCCGACATCGATCACTTCCATGTTCTTCCCATATCTGCTCTTCCTTTCCACCAAGTAGCCATCCAGATACTCGTCTATGGACACCCATTTATCTGCAGCCTTGGAACTGTTTTCATCTAACTGGAGTGGACCCAGCTTGAAAATTGTGAAGAATGCAGCAGACCAGTCATTGAGAACTCTCTGCGTAACAACAGCAATCGGAGTTGTAAGTTTTTCCCCTTTTTTTGGTACATATTCGTGACAAATTCAATCGATATCAGGAATATAAACAGCATAATGGTACCTTGAAATTGGGTAGATCAACAGGGTTGAACATTTTAAAGCAATCTCTTGAAGAAGTCTGGCTGTCCCCAAAGATCTGATAGTGGTAGTATCAGTTAAAATAATATGCAGGAGATGTTTTTATGAAAGTGTCGATAGCAGATTACTTCTGTCACACAAACCTCAAAGGTGAATGCCATTGGTGTCTTTACAACATCATAGATATAATCTGTAGCTGTACCATGTGCCAGGTACCTAAAGTGAAGAAAACCAATTAAAACTGGCCAAAAAAAAAGGCCTCAAGGAACATGATAACTTTCAAAATCAGTCTCAAACAAAACTTGAAAGAATGTGCAGATGCAAGTGAATAAGGTTAAACGATGAAGCACTAAAGATTTCTGAAAATATTCATAACATTATTGAGGAAAGAAACAAACCCGACAGAGCCTCCGCCAGATCCAATCATGCAGCGGTTGTGGCAATGGAATTTATTCAGTTTTTCAAGTAAGGTCCTCATCTTCTGCGAAGGCAATCCTTCTGGGGTTACGTTTTTGTGGTCATACGGCATGAATAGAGCCTAAAGACATGAGAAATCAAAATCAGACTTCTCAAAAATATATATAACAAACACCCAATCATGATTTCTGGAATGTGAACATCCATGCAACCCATCATTTACACGTCAATTCCAAGAAAGTACGCAATTTTTATTCACATGCTAAAAACTTCAAACGTATCCAGGATAACACTAAATCAGAAGAGAAACATCACCTCCATTCCAGAATGCACATTTATCCATACGTCAGGATCAAATGATATAGCAAGCTTTCGCATTATCTGAGTTTCAGGCTCACTAAACGGACCGGTTCCTGGATTCTCCTCAGATGGATCGTAATCCTGGAATCGCCGATGTGATGCATTAACAAGAGATCTTAAAGAAATTGGAATGCGCGTTCAGAAGAAATATGGAGTGAAACTACGAAGTACCTTTTCTTTCTTGCCCCAGTCAACTCCCCAATTTCGGTTCAGGTCAACTCCTCGTCCTGTGATTCACAGATATGATAACAGATGAAATGATATAGAAACCCATTAATAACTATGCATTTGAGAGACAAAATATGGTTACCGTTTCTGCGTTCACAAAGATCTCCAGCTTCAACACGTTTACGACCATTCAAGTTTTCTATAGGAACCAGCTGACAACAACAACAAAATAGCAGCATCTTGTGAGTAACTGAATCTATCAAATACTACCTTGCCTACCGTGCATCTTGTGAGAAAAAAACGAGATTGCACGGATCAGACACACTTACCTTAATGACTACCTTGTCCAAGGTGTTGTTCAGGGTTACTCCATTTGTCTTTGGTAGGAACTGTTCTTCGCTCAAAATTGACAAAATCCGAAAGGCAAGTTCAGAAGTGATAAGTTCTCTACCATGCTGCCCAAAAGTCTGGAAGAAAAGGAATCATCTGTCAAAAAACACAGATATTACCCAAATTGTGAAGAAACTTCACACCTATAGAAGAAAGTACTTAAACCACAAGACCAAGTTTTTGCAGATTTGAATTCATTAAAGGGAACTTACAAGGAGGATCCTAAAGTTCGACCTGTCATCAGTCTCTCTTCCGCCTCGATAATACGTAACCACGTTGAGCTCTGCATTGTAGCCCTTGTTTCCAGCCTTAATCAGCTCAATCTGTGAAACACAAACCTTCACTCACTCACTTTTGTGCTGAACATAAACACAAAGGACCTTAAAAATGAAGGTGCTAATGGCACTAACCGAGAGCTTATCAGGATGTCGATGTACCAAAGAATGTATCTGCTCCATTAAATCATCACTGCAATGGAGACCAAACAATCTATCTATCAATCCTCTATGAGCAGAAAACACTAAACTAGAAGAGAAAATTCAAAACCTTTGAGTGAGAGACAGAGCAACTTAGAAAGACCCATTTGATAAACTAGTGAATTAATCGAAAGGAATCTGGGAAAATTGACCTGGAGTGGTAGAGATCCCAGTTAATCGGAGTAATGGAAGAGGAATCAGAAGGGTTAGTTCCGGCGTGAACGAGGAAGAAGAGAAGCAACGATGGGAGGAAGAAGATCGCGTGGCGACGCATAGCCGCTTCGAGAGAGAAAAAGGAGAAACCTTTTGGAGTTTTGCTTCCTCGGGTAATTGTTGCT